TTGTGCCATGTTGTGTTCCTGGAACATGATTTCTATGATGCTGCAGCCAACCCTAGTGATGCCTCCGAGATGGATTTCCTCACTTCTCTTCCTCCGGCCCTTCTTCCAACACTAGACTCGCCGCTGCCTCGAAGAGTTCCGACTCACGCAATGAAGGGTGTCCCGCCTCCTCGATATTTGAATTTTGTTGCTTACTCTACTACATCTCCTCGCTTCGTCCTAGCCACGTATAAGTAGGCTCGTGGCCAACCCGAATGGGAGGATGCCATGAATACCGAGTCACGGGCCCTGGAGGCTAATCACTCTTGGGACCTTGTCCCTCGCCGTCCGGAGATGCAGGTTATCGGCAGCAAATGGGTCTACAATATCAAGGAGCTTTCCGATGGTTTTATTAAACGGTTTAACGCGAGGGTGGTAGCGCAGGTTCGCAGTCTTCTTGCTGTTGCTGCCATGAAGGGCTGGCCTCTGTTGCAGCTTGATGTCAATAATGCTTTTCTACATAGCGACTTAAAGGAGACAATTTATATGGAGCGACCTCCGGGGTACTCGAAGGGTGAAAATTCGGTGGAGTGTTTACTATGCCGCTCTGACTCAACCCGAATATCAAAATAAAATCCCACCTAAGGCCCAAGTATAAACCTTAAATGTAACCCTCTTGGCCCAAGCAATTGAGGGTTGACTTACCTTCTCCCTCAAACCAAGGTTTAGACGATATAATAACAATTAACCCAAGTGTTTAATTCAAACGAGGTTTACCCTTAATTAACCTAGTTAGGAGGCATGGAATGCACAAGAAACGCATCTCTAATAGAGCCTCTTAAGTTAAAGGAGCTTCTCTCTAAACTAGCTTAGGGGGGATTGAATGCCCAAGAAAACCCACCTCAAATTGAGCTTCTTTAGATAAAGGGGGCTTCTCTCGAAACTAGATTAGGAAGCATGAAATCCCCAAAAACATCCAGCTCTAATTGAGCCTCTTAACATAAGGAGGTTTCCACTCTAAGATAGGGTAAAATAGCACAATAGATTGCCAAGCACACACAATGCACAATCACCATGAAAGATACCTCAATTCTTAAATTAAACACCTCCATCACACAATATTCAATCCACACAATCAATTGCATGGTAGAAGTTAGGTTTCTAAAAAATCTAAGTGAAAAAGGAAACTACTCCATGCTAGATAAAGGAAGAACATAAAGGAAGAAGAAAGAAACCCAGATTTTGATGCCTCTAACCCTCCTGTAGAGATCCTCCTTAGAGAGGAACTTCCAAAATCTTCACTTGGAGCAAACCCTAACCTCTTCTCATTCTTGGTTCATCACTTTCGCTCTCTAGGGTTTCAAGAAGAAAAGGCTTTCTCTCCCTTTGGGCTCCCTCTTCTTCTTCCTCTCTACTCTCCATTTATACTGAGATCGTGCCCATTTTATGGCCCAAGTTCACGGTCGTGAACATCAAAACGCGTTCGTGAACTCAGTAAGCTGGATCAAAATGCACCGCTTCACTAAAGATGTTCACGGTCAATGGCTTCAGTTCACGGTCTTAGCGACCTTGAAATCCCTTGGCTTCAGTAACCTCTGAAACCTCTCTCGATGCCTCGCTGTTCACGGTTTGTGGTACCAGTTCACGGTCCTGGCGATCGTGAACTCCAATGTTAGACCGTGAACTCTGGATGAATCCTCCTCTTTGCCCGGTCTTTGCTCCTTTTCTTCCAACTTTCGACTCCGGGGTTGGTTTCACCTATTAGACTCTGAAACACATTGAAACACAAGAAACCTAGCATAAAACCACCCTTTTAGGAGCTCAAATGCCACAAGCTTCAAAGGAAAACGGGGATAAAAAGTGTAATTTAAGCCCGAATCACGCTCTCTCTATGGTTTGAAGCAGGATCCTCTTGCTTGGTTTGAAAAATTTTAAACCACCATTCTGTAGACAGGGTTTGTCCAGAGTGAAAATGAACCCTCATTATTTCTTCGCACGACTGTTCGTGGTCTTCCTGTTCTTCTTATATACGTTGACGATATGGTTCTTTGTGGTAATGATCAGGAGGGCATTCAGTCTATGACAACAACCCTGCGCTCGGCCTTTAATCTCAAGGAGCTTGGTCCACTGTCTTATAATCTGGGGTTGGAGATTGATTGCTCAGATGCCAGGATACACGTCGGTCAACGTAAGTATATTGATGATCTTTTGGAGAGAGGCACTAATGGATTAATGTACTCCGTGCGGGACACCAATGGAGCAGAATTTGAAACTGCATCAATCTAGTGGGGAACCGTTGGCGAATGGCACTACCTATCGCAATGCGGTCGGGAGGCTGATTTATCTTACTCACACACGTCCGGATATTGCATACGCGGAGCAGGTGGTCAGTAAGTATATGTCGGACCGGCGGACGAGTCACTGGCTTGTTGTTCAGTGTATTTGCGTTATCTTCATGGACACGGGACACCCACGGTTGGTCTATTTTTCTGGGGTGATGGTGATCCGATTATGGAAGAATATGCGGATGCGGATTATGCTGGATGTTTAGATACTCGGCGCTCTACCTCTGGCTGGTGCAACAGGGTTGGTCATTCCTTTGTTATTTGGTGGTGTAAGAAGCATGATCGAGGCTCCAAATCTTCTACGGAGGCTGAGTATCGATCTATGAGAGATATAACATCTGAGATTGTTTGGTTACAGCGCCTCCAGACCAGACCGCACCAATTCCCAGCATTTTAGTTTCTCTAACCTATTCCTAGCATTTCTTTTATCTTATGATAATGGAGCATTTGGCGAATCGTAAAGGGTAATTCACATCCAACATGAACTTAGATTTATATATGGTAGCAAATGATTTGCGAGACACACAACTTGATCGTGATTAACCATATTATAATTCAGTCTATCGAATAAACGTACAAGTTTTGTATGTAAGATTTGTTATTCGTCGCCCTAATTCAGTCAAATTTACTTTAATGTCCTTAAATCATTTCTTTATCTTTCAAACACTTATCCCAACTTAAACTCATATATTGCACCAAAGTTAACAAAATATAAGGAAATAAACAACAAAATAAACCTCAAAATAAACTCAGCGACGGTGGCAACCTTTCTATGGCCATATGATCAATGCCCTTGACCTCAGTTCCACCCTTGCTAGAATGCTGTGTTTTTTTGTGTGTGTGTATTGATGATATATATAAACTGGGTTCAATTGAAATTAGCAACTTGACTTTGAATCATTGTGAATAAGAAATATATTGGTACTCTTAAATTCATTGAGCAAATTTGAGTAGTCAAAAAGAACCAAGTCACCAACTTTACCCACTAATCGAGTATGAACTCTTCCTTCCTCTGCAGCTACGGCGGCGACGGGAGGCAGATCGGCGTCGGGCAGGAGCAGGGCAGTCGGGTTAGACCATCCCTCCGCACTCGAGTAGTAGCAGCGGGAGCAGGTGGCAGGGTTAGAATTATAATTGAGTTGAGGGTATATATGTCAATTTGTTATGTTTTAGAGCGATAAAATTTGAATTTTAGGGCGACGAATAGCGATTTAGAACAAATATCGTACGGGCTAATTATCATAAATGGTCATAGAATTATGCACTTTGTACAAAATGGTCACAAATTTTTAATTTTGTACGCTTCAGTAACATGTGTTTGATTTAGTAACAAAAAAATAATTCCATCCATATTCATCCAAAAAACCGTTACTCCATCCAATCAGAATGCCACATCATTTAAAATATTAATAAAAAATTAATGATCAAACCCAATAGAAATAACCCAACCGAAAATCTAATACTATTCCACCAAACCCAATTCTTCTTTGTCTGCCCCACCTTCTTCCCTGTGTTCTTACCAAAAAACACCACAAACCCCTTTCCTACCATAAACTCGGGCAATATCATAAACTCGGGCAGAAGCGGAGGAAAGAGATTGAATGGAGAGGGCGGCGACGAAAGAGCTGGTGGTCGGAGTCTCAGTTATGAGTTACCTATCAAGGAAATCGAATTAGGGTTTTCAGTTGGGTTATCGGGTCAATTGGGTTTGGTCATTAATTTTTTTTTATTGATATTTTAAATGATGTGACGTGCTGACTGGACGGAACTACGGTTTTTTGGATGGAGATGGACGGAACTACCTTTTTGTTATGATTCCAAACATATGCTACTGCAAGGTACAAAATTAAATAGTTGTGACCGTCTTGTACAAAGTAGATAGTTTTGTGACCATTTATTATAATTAGCCATATCTGAAAGAAAATCGCGTAAAAAATTAATTGATGTAGACAAAAAACACAAAAGACAAACTCAACTTTTATTTTACTTTTCATGGACTAGGTAGCTAGCTTGCTTACCTATTCTACCAAAAAAATGGAAAGATGGAATTAAAAAAATACTCTGTCGAAAGAAAGAAAAAAAAACTTGTAACTATGGAGAAACCATTGATGGGAGGGTATCAAAATATTTATTTAGTCACGAGTAACTAATATCTAACTTAATTTAAGTTCAAATCTGGTCTTGGCGGGTCATACAAATGCTTACAAGCAGTGTAGCAACCGCAAGATAGATTCTCATACCGTCCATAAATAACTACTCCAATTCTTCCAAACTTATTGCGGCATGCGCTCTCGCATATCGAGTCCTTACAAACTCCACCCCGAAAATGCAAACTTGCAGCAGGAAAAGAAGTGAATTTGTAACAAAAATTAGGGGTGGCTATACGGTCCGGTCCGGTTAAATTGGCCCAAATTGATCCGGTCCAGTCCGGTTTTTTTTGAAAATATAAGGACCGAAGATTGGATTGGATACAGTCCGGTCTTGATCCGGTCCGGTCTTGACCCGGTCCGGTCCCAATTCGGTCTTGATTTTATATTGAGATTGTGGGAATTTGAGTGGCCTAAGGCCTAAAAGGGTGAGGAGTTGGTTAAGTTTTGTATAAGTGCAAAGGTTTGTGACCGTTTATGCAAATTACCCTTAAGTTTTGGGTGTTGAGCTCTCTTATCCGGTCTTTATCCGGTTTTTTACCTCAAATCTAAGCCCAAAGATTGGATTGGATTGTTTACTATCCGGTCTCGGTCCGGTCTCGGTCCGGGTTATACGGTCCGGTTTCCGGTTTTTCATCCGGTCCCGGTCCAAATAGCCAGCCCTAACAAAAATGTCCTGCATCCCTAGATTCATGACGACGGAATGCTACGACTTCGTTCCCTAATTTTCATTACAAACATTAGATACATATGAAATCAAATCACCGCAATCAATTATTAAGAGAAGAGACATATATACTAAATATATAAAAATGATAAATTTCACATAAAATATAGATAATTACCAGGGAGAAGATAAATTAATAGAAGAACTAATACAATTCCTGATGATGATGAGATTTTCATCGTGATCGTTTTCTAGCTATTTTTTTTCCTAGTGTCTATGAATGTTTTAGTACAAAAGTGATATTAACTAGAAATCAGCATATATATATAAGAAGATTCGGTATCATAATTTTGTTTACTTATCTAAATGCTAACTTCTCCATGATTTTAGGCGAAAAATAATCTCTCATGAATTCTTTTCGTATGGTTGTTACACTACATAAATCTTGGTTGTTTATTTAATTATTTGACTAGTAAATTTCTAAATATTATGTTTGTTTTTCCTCCTTCTTTAATTCCCATTTTTAAAAAATTTCAGTTAATTAAGCCTATATGCATTTATATATATATATATGGTCAATGAGAGCCAGTACAACAAAGTGTATTTTGCCTATTAATTACTATATACTATACTGACAAATAATAACTAGGCTGGTGCCGAAAAACATATATATATAGGTCAAATTCACTTTTGTAGCCAAAACTTTGACGATTTTGCCAAATATAGCCACTTTTGGGGAAATACCAATAATAGCCAGAATTTTGAAAGTTTGATGACAATAATAGCCATTTCCGTTACATAATTTAACGGCGTCAATGACACCGTTAGTCAATTTAACAGAATGCTTACTTGGATGCCAACTCACCCTCTCTTTCGTTTCCACCTCAGCATTCACCGACAGATGGACGACACGTCATTACAAAAATAAATAAAAAATAAAAAATTCATCAAAATATTCTATATGGACATGTTTTATCTTTTTATTATTAATAATTATATAAATAAACACAAAAAAGGAAATGCTTCATCTTCTCCATCTCTCCTACTCCCCTTCTTCATCTTCTCCAATCCACTCCCTGCCCAAATTTTCGAGAATCAAATCCAGTATCTCCCCTGATCTCTTCTGCCTGGTCCAATTTTCCACCTCCGATCTCAATCTGTGAATAATGAAATCAAAGTAAAAAAAAACAAATAAAACAAAAACTAAAAACAAGCATCTGTGCTGGTCATCGAGATGCTTCAGCTTCCTCATCCGCCACTGCCGCAAAGATTGATTAACTATATTGTCTTCCTCTCCCCCTCGTCCATCACCAACCGCCAGCGAAAAATCCCTCTGCCAAAAAATCCAACTAAAAAACTAGAAACAATCGCAATTACGGATCTGGAAATGGAGAACAGAACCCAGAACTCTCTCGTCTTCCTCTTCCAACGCTTCGGACATTGAAGACTAGATCTGGCCGCGCCGCATCGACTGTGCTATTTCAGAAGGACAATCCATTCCTTCTCCCTAGCTCGATTTCTGTTTTTAGCTTCAAAGGAGGAGGATGCAGCGAGATTTGGTCTGGATACAGATCTAATTAGCGACCCGGCGGCGAGATCCTGAACTGGCAGTGACCCAGAACCGGCAGCAACGGAGAATCGAAAAAAAATCGAGCTCTGTAAGACATTGGAGGAGAATCGAGCGCCAGAGCGAGGCTCTCTACTGTCGGCATCGCCGTTGGGGTCGACGTCTTCAGTTTTGCCGGCGAGAGGGTCGCCACCACCAACCGTCGTGGAAAGCCTCTCGAAGAACAGCATCTCCGCGAATCAAACCCGGAGTTAATTGGGTTGGGGGCTGTACAATCGGAGGGAAGACTCCGCGACATAGTTGGCTCGACGGCGATGTTGTTGAGAGAGCGAGAAGCACTAATAGAGCTTTCAAAATGGCGGTGGTGTCGACGACGGAAGTTGGGTAGGTTTAAAATGGTGGTGGTGGTATGATGACGCAACCTAGGTAGGGATTAATGGGTTTAGGGTTGATTCTTATTTTGGTTAGGGAAGATTTTGAGGGTTGCAGAAGAAGATGAAGTTTCTGGAGTTCAGGGAATTATTGATGAAGGGGAGGTGATAAGGCGATGCTGAAGATATTTTTGGTTTTATTTTTTTTATGATTTTTTTATTTAATTTGATTAAAATAAAAATATAAATTTTACTTATTTTCCACCAAATATTATTTTCGAAGAAAATATGCCATGTCAATTGCTGCTGTTAGTCCAGTCAGCACGTTAACTAACACCGTTAAACAATTGGACGGAAGTGGCTATTTTTGGTATTTCGCTAAAAGTGGCTATATTTAGCAAAACCGTCAAAGTTTTGGCTACACAAGTGTATTTGGCCATATATATATGAGCATTTCTACTATGCTATATAGCATCGGTGCTTTAATGTATAACTTAAAGTTGTACCATAACATTAAATGTATAACTTTAGGTTGTACCATAAAGGAATTTGTATCATTATGTTATGGTACAACTTTACAACTTGAATTTGTACCATCAAATAAAGGTACAAGTTCAAGATGTACCATAAAAAAATTTGCAGAAAATGTATAGGTACAATCTGAAGTTGTACCATAACGTTAAATGTACAATTTCAAATTGTACCATAAAGACAAAAACCTATAGCACCAGTGCTATATAGCATTATAAAATTTCTCATATATATCTTTGTTTTGTGAAATTCTATCCATATGTCATTGGAGAAATTCTCTTTGCTTGTACAGTATCGGCATTCGGCAGTCCAACTAGAAGACTGCTTGTCAAGTTCAAACCAATATGCAACGCTCGAACAGTTTTATACCATATTACCGAATTTTCTAGTACAAGTTGTGATACAGTTTTATAATTATTGAAAATTCTATTTGTGTATAGTTTGAATGTAGAAAAATCTTTCTTTCCTTTTGTTTTTAATTTCTTAACCAATAACCAAGGAAGGGATAAACAATTCTCCTTTTTTTATCAAACACTACTCAATATTTACCATGATCGATCTTCTACTAATTATTTTGAAGATTTTGCAACGATTGGCTATGATTAGATGAAGCAACGAAGTCTCGATCAAGTAGTTGAATCGGATTAATCGAATTGACTAAGTTTATAAATTCTTAAAGAGAATGTGCGTTTGGTGAGAGAAGAGCTCAATGACTCAACTATAATTCATTTTGAGTATCGTATGATAATTTAACTTTATTTATATGACTTTGGATGACACATGGGGATCAGACCTTGAACCATGGGTCAGTCCATCACTACAAAAAAAAAAAACCTATACCAAGGGTTTTGTAGCAAAGGTCCAATAAACCCCTGCTAGATTTGTTAGAACTCACTGTACCATGGGTTTATTGCAGGGATTCACAAACCCCTGCTACACGGATAACTAATTGTCACTGTTTTGTTCTATGATATGAAGTATTGTCCGGAAATGAAAATATAAGAACTTAGACGAAGTATTTTGCATAATGTAGGGTTGATTTTGTAATATTTTTTTGCTTCAGTCTCAGTTCATCTCGTCCCTGCCTCATCTTCTTTTTTCGTTCCGATCGCTCGACACTTTGATGATCAGAGTTTCGATCGATCTCTTTGACGGACGATCAGATGCTTGATCCAGATTCTCTTTTTCGATGCCTCCATCTCCATAGTCTACGATCTCCCTCGCTTATGTGTTTTCATTGCTGATTTGAAACCCTAAGTCCTCTTCGATGGCGACTACTTCCGATAGTTCTTTGTTTTCATCGCTGATTACTCCTTCTTATCCATGTTGCAAACAACAACGTTTCCTCACTGAAGATGGTCACACCACTCCTTTCCCTCCTCTTACTGCTTTCTTCTCCGTACAAGACCGCCATAGCAAAATCCTTCTCCCCTTCGCAATTGCTTCCATTGCAGCGATTCGAAAGGTAATTTCCTACTGTACTACCTTCGTCTGTGTTCGCATTTCTTCTCCGAAACAAAGGATCTCAGTCGTTTTTTTTGTTGTTTGTTTGCTGATAAAATTGGACTCTATCGATGGAATTGGATGGGGTAATCTACTTCGAGAACCATCAGAAGCTCTGAACCTCATTATTACTTGTTTTCATATTTCTGTGTGGCCTGATACCTCGAGTGAACTCCAAGAAATTTTCGGATTCTGTCAATTTGCCTCTAAGCGGTAAGTCGATCGAGGAACAATTCTAGCGATATTTGTGTGGCTCCTATCTGGGCAACATGGGAGCCTGCCAAGGTGAGTTATTCTCTTTGTTTCTTTCTACTATTCTGGCTACATAGTGAAGTTGTTTTGGCTTAAGATGATCATCTAATATTATACAAGTACATCTCGAATTTAGGTTCATGTTCTGAAAAACTGAGTGTATGTCAGCTAGTGATGATAGATGGATGTATTTTCCAGAAAGGATAATTGGAACACACTTCGGGTGTTTGTGACGAAAGATTGCCATCTCGATTACATAGCGAAGGATGAACCTGCAATGCTATACATCGCTTTTGTGTTGTTTATGAGGTAGTGATTATTCACTACCATGGTCCAATCAGAAAGTATATTATTTATGAACCTTGTTGTTAAACAACTCTTTACAGTCTCTCTGCATATGTACATTGTCCCACTGCACATACTTATATTCTACTTCAAATTATACCTCTGGGTATCTAATGCAAGATCAGAGATATGGGTTATTAGACTGTTAGACAGCAAGTTGCAGTCATTGCAACTGAATATCTAGAATTGTGTTTCATAATATTCTTTCAAAACTATATTTAGACGTGTTATAATGTTCTGAATTTGTCTTCCTTCTGTTGTTTTCATTACTGCAGATGGTTTGAAGTTCGAGGAATCTAAGAAGTTTGAGAATTGTTACCGAATCTGACGTTCAAGAGTGTTTTCAGCATGGACATCCATCGTCTCAACATGAGGAAGAGTCTGCATATAGCATAGGTACTATATGGAATATCTAAACTTGTCTTTCTTCCATGTTTAGTTCTTTCTTCTGTACCTTTTGCTTCTCATGGATCTTCATTTGGAATATCTAAACTTGATGCAAATCCCCTACTCCTGCTGTTCCTCCAAGGGAGCTTAACTTAAAAGGCTAGTTTTTGTGTGCTACTTTTGTATCAGAATTGTGCTAGGGAATTGGGAAGAGCTACGCAATTTGTAGTATGTTGGAATGCAATATGAGATGGTGTACTCGTTAGGATTAACATGCATTAGGTGAAGCTGATATTTGCTCCTGTCATTTTAAGTGAAATGGTTTGCACAGGGAAGCTACTTTGAGATGTAGAACCTGAGCTAATGGATGCCTTAATCCATGCCACAAAAGATGGGGACTGGAATAGGCTGGCAGTGGGTTTTCCTTTTTTTTTTTGGTTTCTGCGGAATGGTATTTACGCACCTACTTACCAATCCATGGTTCCATAACTTGTCTTCTTTCTGTTGAGACCTGCTTATATGTGCAGGCTTTTTGGATGGGTATCATTTGTGGGATTTCGTTACATGCTTGTCTGCTATTCGCCATTACCATGAACACAAACTGGGAAAAACAAGTACAGATATCCACATTTTATTACATACTTCCTTGCCTTTTAGTTAATTCTCTACTGCATGAAGGCTAGTATTGTTTTTGTCCTGAAAGGTACCTTGGCTCATTCTGTTTTCCATTATGGACCTTACAGGTAAAGAAGGCCAAAGACAGGTTGTACGCTTCAAGTTATTTGTCAACGGCGAACGCTGTTGCCACCACAATACCTTAATATATTCATTACCCTCCTGCATGGGAAGCACACCTTTATCTGTGGGAACTAGTATGGTGAGGTATATTGGGACTTTAACCTTGTTTCTCGTACTTGACCTGATTCGCTCTACTCCATAGAATGTCTTTCTCAATGCTCATCAGTTTATATGGTGTGTTAGTTTTGGCTAATAAGTAACTTAACAAAAGCTGAAATAGAAACTAAAACTCAACCGAAACTTACAAGGGTTTTCTAAACAGCAGAAGGTATTAAGTTGCAATTTATTGTAATTCTTCTTTCTATCAACTGCATAAGGTTCTTCTGTACTTTATTGTTCTTTCATCATTTTGCAGAATGATCATGACGAGACATTTGACTATAACTGAGATGGTAGAGCGTGCAAGGTGTCTGCTCACTATGGATTTCTGCATACAAGAGCACAAGTATGAGCAGAGTAAGAGCAACAAGTAAGTTCCATAGGCAACCATGTTTTTGTTAAGAACTTATTTGGTTTGGTGTAAATGAATGGTGATGGTAGCTAGGTTTGTGAGGGTGACGATGCAGACAAAGGCGAGCATGTTCCTAATCCTATTACTTATATAAATAAGCTGTTCATTTTTAAATTTATTTACTCGATGTTGTTCTAATCTAAATTGTAATATGTTAAATGGTTGCAGAAGGAAAAATTAGGGAGGGCTCCTACTAGGCTTGAAACTTTCAAAGCTAACCATAAGAGATCAATATCTTTCGACTTGACACATGTTGCTCTTGCACATACTGATCTTCACAGGGTAAGTGCCCATGACTATTGCTTGTTCTGGCATTATAACAAACTATTCGAGTACTAGCGAAATATTGGTCTGGAGATGTCTGTTACCATGGCTCACTTGTTAGGTGACTAAAAGTTTGGTCTACCATTTATAACCTGTTTCATATCAGAGTCCATTGCTTCAAGAATTGGTAATTATTATCTTATGTGGTCTTTGCTTCTTTGCAGGCTGATGGAAGTGTCTCATTAATTTCCTGTATTAATTTTATTAATGTTGTTTTATTACTGAACTTGATCAAAGATATTTGTAATGGATGATTTATACAAATTAAAAGAATCCATTCATGTATTTTGGTGTAATTTATTTTAATTTATGACCATATTTTTTAGATGGTTAATGTTAAGAAATCATGTACGACCAATTATATAAGATTGTTTGAATATGGTGACCAGCATATTGGTATTTGCAACGAAAATACTGTTGCTAATGAGACACCTCTCTTTAGTGACAGTGAATCTATACAAAATATGTTGTCGTTAAAAGGCGCCTCTCTTTAGGATGAAACTTTAGTGACGATTTATTCCGTCGCAAAAATATACACTAATATGTGACGAATGATGCAAGGGTTTTAACCCTTGCTACGAACTTCGTCATTATAGCTACAACATAATATAGCAACGACTTCAATCTTTTTAGTTTTTGCAACCAACTAATCAAGGGTTAGAACCCTTGCTACATAAGTTTCGTCATTGTATTTTAAACTAACGAATAGCAAGGGTTTAAACCCCTGCTACAACCCTTGCAAGGGACTTCCACAAGGGTCGCTGTAACCCCCTGCTACATGTAGCAGGGGTGGCTTTGCCAAGGGTTAGTGCAGGGGTTTGTAAACCCTTGCTACAACTTATAGCAGGGGTTTAAACCCTTGGTATAGGTTAAAAAAACCCTTGGAATAGCCTCCTTTTTTTTGTAGTGCATGTTATTCTTTGATTAAAACTTACCTTGTAGGAATACCTTTGTTCATTTTTAGTGATCAACATCTTGCTCGGGAATACCATGACCCTCAAATAAGGCATTCGAATACCATAACAAATTGACATGCTTAGCTTGTTCTCATGAACAAAGTAATGTTATATTGGATAACCATCAAAATCAATCCATCGTCAGGCAACAAATCTTGCAAACATCATTGATAACAAAATAGCATGTGATGATCATCTATTTGATGCATCGATACATAAAATTCCTAAATGATCCACCGTCCACGTAATGTGTGTATTGTTATACTTTCATGTCCATAAAACAATTTAAGAAAAACATGATTTAGAGTAGGGGTGGGAAACGATCCGGTCCGGTCAAAACCGGACCGGATTGACCCGGTTTTTTAAGACCGTTTTGACAAATACCATAACTGGAGACGGGATTGGATGGCACCCGGTTTCAACCGTGACCGGACCGGGTTCAATCCGATTTTAAACCGGAAACCAAATTGGCAGTCATCCCTTCCAAAACGTTGACGTTTGAAAAAAATTAAAAAAAAAAAAAGAAATACAATGAAATTGAGAAGATGGGTCGTCTCTGCCTCTTCCACTTTTGAACCGTCTCTATTTTCTCAATCTCTTCTCTCTTTTTCTTTCCCAATCATTCTTCCACCTACTTCTTCTCCTCTCTGTTCTTCTTTCTCTTTCTTGTTTCTTCCATCTGCCTCTTCTTCTCTTTGATGAGGCAAGCAAGTTGCTCACTTGGTATGTCGATCTGTCTTCGGCCTCCATCGTGAGCATCGCCGTCTCCGTCGCCCAGATCTGCCTTGGCATGCAGAGAGCAGAAGATGACGATTTACAGATCAGAGAGGGAATTGGGGCTGGAAAGGCGACGAGTCATGGTCGGCGCCTCCTCTTCCTCCATGCACGAGCTGATAGCGGAGGAGATTGCGGCGGCGGCGGCGGCCCTGGCTGGGGATGGGGCGAAATGGAGAGGAGTGATGGAGGGTGTTTAAGGAGGATGGACGGGATGGTGGAGGAGAAGGATTGGATGTTGAGGTCGACGGCGGTGGTGGTCGTGGTCGGGAAGGAGGAGGTGGTGGGCAATTGCGGCGACTCCAGTCTCCAGGGTGGGTTTTCGACAAGGAAGATTAGAGGGGAGGAGTGAGCGACTGGTATGGAAACGTGGGTGAGAGCAAGAGGGAGTAAGATTAGGTTTAGGGTTGGGCTCTGGGCCGGGCTGGTTTTGTCGAGTGTGGGCCTGGGGATTGGATTGTGGGCTGGGCTTGCTTGAAGATCTTAATCCGGTTTTCCGGTTTTAACCGGATTGGACCGGGTGGGCTAACAGGCTGACCGGAAACTGGACCAGATTGGATGCTAATCGGTTTCTGGTTACAACCGGGGCGGTTTTAACTGCCCAGTTTTCGGTTTGACCGGAAAACCGGGACTGGATTCCCACTCCTAATTTAGAGTATGTTATTTTATGTGTTGAGTGTCGGTTTTAACCAACACTTCATTATTTTGTGTCCGTTCATTTAACTGTCGCGATACCTGCCGACACCAATATGATTTATTGGACTGAATTTGCTGTATTTATTTTATGGTAATGTTTTTGTACTTTGCCTATATACCCACGTGAATGTAGAGTGGTATATAAGGGCTGGTGATGTCGTGTATTGGGTTGAAGAACCCTAGCCGAAAACACTCCTATCACAGACTAGTGACGTTTCTCTCGAGAGCCATGCTCTCCGTGGATTAGTCCCGGTTTCCGGGGATACCACGTAAATCCATGCGTTGTTTTATTTTCTGCAATCAAATATTTTTCATGGTATCAAAGCTGTACATTCTGAATTTGCAGTTTGAGTCATCATGGGCGAAGAAACTTCCAGCGGAGGCGGGAAATCGCTTATCACCGTGGGCGACGAAGTTATCCCGCTTAGCTCTCCTCTCTATCTTTATCCCTCGGAAAATCTTGTTCAACTATTCGGCAGTGATTTGTTGACTGATTTGAACTATGGTGAATGGGTTAACGACGTTACCGAAACCCTAATTGCGAACAACAAGCTTGTCTTTGTGGATGGGACGTTGCCGCATGCCAAGGCTGGATCCGCCCGCCACCAGGAAGCTTGGGATCGCTGTGATGCTACTGTCAAGGGCTGGTTGAAGACTACTATGTCTCGTGAGATTTGTAGTAGCGTTCGCACTGCCACTACCTCCCGCGCTATTTCAGGTCGGCACAACGCGTCTACGAGCTGAAACACATGCTCGCCTCTTTGCGTCGGGAAAAACTGTATGTCTCGGATTTCTATGCAAAATTTCATTCTCTTTGGGACGAGATGGACGTCGCTGATGGACCGCCGCGGTGTACTTGTTCGGGCTGTATTTGATTTCTTGCTTGGCCTGGACGACGTCTATTCCGTGGTTCAATCCCATATCCTCAACACTCGCCCAAACCTTACCCTCGCTGATGCTTACCAAACTATTTTGACGGAGGAGCAGCACCGTCTTCTCATTAGTGGTCGTCATCCCGTCGTGGACACCGCTGCTTTCCAGGTTCAGTCGGATTCAGATCCCAAGGACGAGCGCATGCGTCTTCGTTGCTCGCATTGCAATAAAATCGTTCATGCTCGTGAGATGTGCTATCGGCTTATCAGCTTTCCTCCGAGTCACCCTCACGCGAAGCAGTGCGACAATCGTTCGTCTAGTTCTCGCAAGTCCAAGGCTGCTCACATTGAGCCGGAATTTTTGCAGACAGTCCTTTTCCTGGCCTTACTGCACATATTGGCGGGTAATTCTTATGAACTGTATGAATGGTTAATTGATTTTGGTTGTAACGAGCAAATAGTTCGTGGTGCCAGCTGGTTGAGTTCAGTTGATTCTCGGTCTGAAATCTCTAAGGTTCAGATTCCCGATGGGATAGGCATTCCCGTTAAGGGGGTGGGTTAGGTGAAGTTATCTTATTCGTTTAGTCTCGACAGGCATGTGCCAGATTTCAGATGTAATCTCCTCTCACTGATTCGATAGACTAGGGATCATAACATCGCCGTAATATTTGTGCATGACTTCTGCGTGATTCAGGCCTTACCTTCAAGGACGCTGATCGTCGGTAAGCTCGAGGATGGTCTCTACTCTCTACTATCTCCGCCACATGACGCTAGGGTCGGCTGTGCAGGCTTGCAAAGTCGATGGACACAGCGGGATGGACGGGGAGCTCTGGCACAAATTTTTAGGTCATCCTTCTTCTAATAGACTGGTTTCTTTAAAGGATTTTCTGGGTAGTACTTTGGATTCTCGACATATTTCTCATTGTGATTCTTGTTTACGTGCTAAACAGACACGTACCCTTTTTCCTTCCAGTTTTATCAAGACCACTGGTTGTTTTGATCTTATTCATGTTGATATTTTGGGTCTCTATCGCACTCGCGCCTTGGATGGATCTCGTTATTTTCTGACTATTGTCGACAATTTTAGTCGCTCGACCTGGGTTTATTTGATGAAATTTAAGTCTGATATAGGGCTAGTTTGGCCCTGCTGTAGCTTTTGCAGAAGTAGTTTTTGGTTAGAGCTTTTAGATAAGTACTTTTTTTAAAAAGCAGTTGAGTGTTTGGCTGGAAAATTATTAGAAGTGCTTTTTAATATGAGAAATTGTGCAAAATGACTATAAAGGGCTTATAATATAAACTATGAATAAAAATTCTAAATAATAAAAAATAGTCAAAATGGATCTTGTTAGATTTCTTTTATATTAAATATTATGATTTTATAATTTATTTTAGTTTTAAAATCATACAAATGAAAGAAAATTATATTTTATTAAATAAATTAAATATGGTAAGAAAATTCATTTTGTCGAGACCGTCTTTCCCTTCCTTGAGCGCTCTCCCGCTCATTCCTCTCCCATTCCTCAAGTGGTGCATGATGACATTTCCATGCATGAGACGCGTCGAGACACTACAAGAATTATCTCTTATAGCTACAAATGATAGCCATAATTGATAATATTGTAGCTAAATACAAATAATAACTACATAAATTATCTCCCGTAGCAATTAACGAAACATATAGCCACAAATCTGTTTAGTTATAGCCCTTTCGGTTATTTTGCTTCGCATTTTCAATACTATAGCCAGTAGTGCCTTATAGCCATAAAAGTTTCTAGCTATGGTAGACCATCATAGCAAAAAAATTATTAGCTACAAAAGAAACCTGTTCGTGACAAAGTTATGCTAACATGCAACTTTTGGCCACAGTAGTTGAATTGGTAGCTACTTAATGTGATTAGAAAAACATATGAAAGTCTTATGGCTTTTAACTTAATGAACTTGCTACGAGATGTCAATTTGGAAGCAGAAACTTGTCATACGGCCACAAAGCATACACATTCGTAGCAATATATAGGATTGTAATTTAAATTTATGTGTTGATCAATTTTTCAATCTAAGTTTTAAATTTCTTTTTAAGATTTTTAAT